ACTTTCAGGATCAGTATTATGAAAGTCGCCGATGTCTCAATATGGCGCCACTGCTACGAAAACAGGACAGATGCTTAAGAAGAAAAGCTATTTCAAATACCTGTGATTGTGAAATAGGGCGAATTGGTAGCAGTGCTGCCGATTCACGAAGGCTCTAAGGAAGCTCATCGGATCGTGCCTAGTGTGGAGTGTTCTCGACCAGTAATAAATCGGTGCTGTTTCGCCAGATCATCCAAGCAAGGGTCACGTAACGTCCATCTTCACCTGCGCAATCGAACCCAGAACAAGCACGCATACACATACATACACACATATACATACATACGTACATACACACACAAATACATACATACATACATAACATACATACATTACATACATACATTACATACATACATACATACATACATACATTACACACATACATTACATATATACATTACATACATACATTACATACATACATTACATACATTACATACATACATTACATACATACATTACACACATACATTACTTACATACATTACCTGCATACGTTACATACTTACTTTACATACATACATACATATATACGTACGTACATGCATACATACACACATACATGCATATACATACATACATACACACATACATCACATACATACATACATACATAACATACAAACATTACAAACATACATTGCATACATACATTACATACATACATTACATACATACATTACATACATACATTACCTGCATACGTTACATACATACTTTACATACATACATACATATATACGTACATACATGCATACACACACATACATACGCACATACATACATTACATACATACATACATACATACATACATACGTGCCTACGTACATACTACGTATAAAAATGCAAGGTTCTTCACTAGCCAATGAAAAAGTTGGCGCACAAAATTGGAGGCCTAAACGACACTGACAGCTACCGAAGAATCTGACTCCACTTTGACGTCTACAAGTTTTTACTTTACGTTTTCTCAACGCTATAATATAACCCTGAACGAAGGACTGTCGTATAAGCGATTAGGTTTTCAGAAGTGAACATGATAAAAAGACGTAGCTCTAGTGATTTTAAGCGGAAAGCATTAGAATTGTTTACAGTAGCATCAATGGAGAAGTGGAGTGTATAAGAAAGAGCTAGCTTGGCATCCAGTTTTCTACAGCGTTATTCTTCCTTCCTCAGTGTATGTTTTGGAAACCTGGGCACAAGCAGTATGGAAAATCACTGTGCGTTATTGAGAACATTATGGTACTGCTATCTCTCACCTACTTACTTACTTGGATACTTGGACGGTCCGTCCTCACGAGTTGTGCGGACTCCAACACATTTGACATTCGTTCCTTTTGGCAATCGTAGTCCATGGTGGTGGTCTTGTTCGAGCATGGTAGCCCTTGCGAGTCTCATACTGTGATCTGTAAAACAACTGTAGCTGCGGGTAGAGCTGATTAACTTTGTTTACGTACATCCGTCGTCTGTTCTCCTCATTATGTGACTAGCCCATCTATATTTCGCTATCGATCTATATTCTCCTGGATCTCGAAGATGTGACAGATTTCGAAGGTCAAAGCTTCGCATTACGGCTAGATATTGAGAGTGCCCGTTATCTTAACTCTTTTATTTACTGCCTTTTTCTTCTTAATGGCAGGGAATGCTTCGAATTATAACTCGTATGAAATGCTGAGATATTTGCAAAACTCCGGACCACAGGTGTATCCAGTGGGGAACGAACACGCGCTGTTGTCCTTACCGGGGAGCAGCGCACTTCACCACTACACCATCCGGGTCCTTCGATTTGCATGTCTCTCAGTTAGTTCTATCGATCTTTTTGCCATCAGCAATCACCCGTCAACGGGATTGATCTGGGGAGCCAATATCGGCATTGAACCCAGTTAAGCTGAGGCTTAGTTATAATCACAATCTTAACTCTTTTATTTACTGCCTTTTTCTTCTTAATGGCCTTTCTTCTTTCTTCTTAATAAATAAAAGAGTTAAGATTGTGATTATAACTAAGCCTCAGCTTAACTGGGTTCAATGCCGATATTGGCTCCCCAGATCAATCCCATTGACGGGTGATTGCTGATGGAAAAAAGATCGATAGAACTAGCTAAGAGACATGCAAAGCGAAGGACCCGGATGGTGTAATGGTGAAGTGCGCTGCTCACCGGTAAGGACAACAGCGCGTGTTCGTTCCCCACTGCATACAGCTGTGGTCCGGAGTTTTGCAAATATCTCAGCATTTCATACGAGTGCCCGTTATATTTTAGAAGACATCGCTCAAGCGCTCGATGAGTAGTCCGATGCATTCTTGTCGTGATTGAAGTATCAACACACGTCTTTGCGGCATAACATAGCGCTGGAAGGACCGTAGAATCAATGAGATGAGCGCGAATTTTCGGGTCCTTCAGTTGGCCTGTGGCTTCCTTGAGAGGCCCGAATGCGGCTCGAGATGCTCTCCTTCTTCTATCTAGTACCTCCTTCATGTTGTTTTCCATGTTCATTGATCGCCCAAGGTAAACGTTGGAGGTGGTCTTTGCAATGAGAGAGCCATCCAATTCAACATATTCGCCTTCGCACCATAGGTTTTTCATGAACTGGGTCTTCTTTCGATTTATGCACAGCCCGATCTTTTTCCCCGCTTCGTTGAGCTCGTTGATCATCATCTCTGCTTCGCTAGTACTTCCTAAGAAGATGACAGTGTAGTCGGTAAAACGAAGATTTGATAGGAATTTTCCATCAATACGTACGCCTTTCTCATCCTAATCGAGTGACCTCATTATCCACTGCAGTGCGGCACTGAACAGCTTTCGCGATACCGTATCGCCCTGTCGAACCCCTTTTTCTACAGGGATTGTAAGAGGTTGATGGAAAAGCTGTATTTTTGCAGTGCAGTTTAGATAACAGTCGGACACAGTCTTTATGTAGGACGGGTCCACTCCTTGATCGACGAGCGCTGATAGGATTGCATTCGTTTCGACACTGTCAAACGCTTTCTCATAGTCGACAAAAGTTAGGACTAGAGGCAAGTGGACTTCTTGACAAACTTCGATGACCCTGAACACGGTTTGGATGTGGTCCATGCAGCAAAATCCTTTTCGAAATCCTGCTTGCTCCATTGGTTGCGCCTTATCCAATGTTTTTGACAAGCGCGAGAGCATAATTTTCGAGAAAGACTTCTAGACTACCAAGCATATGGAACGATAGTTACGAAGATTCCTTCGGTCTCCTTTCTTGGGCATGATGACCGTGCACGACGTCCTCTACTGGTGTTGGATTTTTTCCTTTTGAAGGTAGACTGATACGTGATTTGCGAGAAGTACATGTAAATTGTGGCCTCCAGCTCTAATTAAATCGGCAGTAATATTATCGAGTCCTGGAGCTGTGCCTCTTTTCATGCTTTCTATCGCAACTCGAACCTCTGACGGAGGAATTCCAGGTGGTTCTTCTCCAGCGGGAATATTAGGGCCCGGGACGGGGATTGTGGAACCGAAAAGGTTGGTGTAGAACGTTTCCGTTATTAATTCCATATTATGGAAAGATGTTTTGACGACCCCATCTTCGTTCATGAGGGCTGACAGCAGAACATTATAATCACACAAGTCCCGACGGCATTTTTTCAGACTGCTTCTTTTCTCTGCTGCTTTCAGTATTTTCTTCTGCTTGTACCGTTGTAGATCTTCCTGCAAAGCTCTTCTGCAGCTGGAATTTATTACTAGCCATGTTAAACGTATTGCAGTAGGATCAAGCTTCAGTTTCCTTCTCTTTTCGAGGAACTCCTCAGTAGTGATGGAAATGCGATCCGATTTTTTTGCTTGAGGAACTTCGACGAATTCTGCATAGCTTTTCAGTCCTTCGACAAGCAGCTCGTAGTCTTCGGTCGGGTCTCCTTTAATCTGCCCGTCACGTTTGAACAGGACTTCGTTCAGAATGTTCTCATCGCAAACAGCTAGGCTTTTTCCTCGTGGTCGATGAAGATAATTCTTTTCCAGCTTATGGCTGAATCAAATCTTCACGCAAAGAAGGCGGTGATCGGAACCAGTACAGAATGACGGGACTACCGATGTGTCAAGTAGACACCATCTTCTGTTTGTTAGAATATGGTCGATCTCCACATAACTCGTACCGTTGGGAGACTCCCATGCTTAGCAGCGGCTTTCTTTCTTCTGGAAAAACGAGTTTCCATGGAAGAGACGTGCTACTGACAGGAGTTATGCGAGACGGTTCCCATTCTCATTTCTTTCTCCTAATCCAAAATTTCTGATCCTTTATTCGTTCTCGTTGGCCTTTCCTATTCTGGCGTTGAAGTCTCCAACAACAAACTTATGATATGCTTTATTATTGCGGGTGACTTGCTCCAACTGATAGTAGAACGCATTTAGTTCGTACTCATCACCTACGTCAGTCGGTGAGTAGCAGTTGATGGTAGTGATCTTGTTATGATGCGACAGTTGAAGACGAAGAATGGCTGAGCGAAGGGAAAGGATCACGTCTGAGTCGACGAGATGGATAATGGACGGGTGGACGACAAAGCCTACGCCATCGACATTTCGTGACGGGATCTTTTTTCCACGGGTCACAAGGGTCCCATTGTTTAGTTGGTCCATGTCGGTCTTTTCGACTTTTGTTTCTTGTAATGCGATCACATGAAATTCAATACGATCTGCAGCTATAAGAAGGGCGTGAAGGTCTGCGTCCGTGGAGTGTTCTGGCATTAGACGTGTATAGGAAATCTTCATGGAGTGTCGTGCGTGTGTTCGTCAGATCCTGTTCCAATGACGTCCTGCGTAACCCGAGATTTTCTGGCCTCTCACAGGTCGTGTCACCGCCTGACGTCATAGACGGGAGCACCCAGTGTGCGGTGTACTGAAGCTGGCCTGTTGCTGGTCGTGCAACTGCTGGTCCCTCCCGCATTTTCGATCTCGGCAAGAAGAAGGCGAACGTTGACGAGTTCCCGTGCTGTGTGCATATGATGTCGAGCGAGCGTGAACATCTTTCCTCAGAAGCGTTGGAAGCAGCTTGCATTTGTGCCAACAAGCACATGGTGAAGAACTGTGGAAAGAACGGCTTTCACTTACGAGTTAAAAAACATCTTTATCACGTTACTCGGATTAACAAAATGTTATCATGTGCCGGCGCTGACAGCTTGCAAACGGGAATGCGCGGAGCGTATGGGAAGCCACAAGGTCTCGTAGCTCGTGTTGATATCGGAGACATTTTTTTCTCGATGCGTGTTAAGGAAGCAAATGTAAACCACGCTGTTGAAGCTTTCCGTTATGCCAAGTTCAAGTTTTCTGGTTGGCAATTGATTGCTGTTTCCCGTAAATGGGGCTTTGCTCGTTGGGACAAAGCCGATTACGAACGTATACGCGCCGAAGGACGCCTACGATCAGATGGTGTCAATGTACAGCTCGTTCGTGAGCACGGTCCTCTTGAGAAGTGGTTATCTCTCACCACTGATCAAAAACTTGAAACAACGCCATTCACACCAAAATGTCCGAATATTTTGAAGCCAATAAGTGATTCATCTTAAGGACAATCGGAAACATCAGTTGTTTGCGACCTGTTACCACATTATACCATGCGCAAGTATAACGATCGTTGAGCCCATCGTAAAAATTCTTTAAAAAGACCGTTTAGAAAAAACATAATGCTCAGTGTGTCTCCAAATGAACAGAGCCCACTCAGCCACTCTGGAATGCTACAAGAGAAATTGGCGACTTCACTGGAACTCATTCGAGTTGTTCGAAGGTCAACGTACGAACAAGTGGTTCACTTGCTGTGGCCGTCACCTCAGTTCAAAACTCTCAGTACTATTTTTGAACCATTTAGTTATAGCCTCGTGTAAGCTCATAAACGTAATAAAATATCTATTGTTTATTCAGAGGTTGTATGAAAGCAGATTTTCTAAAATATCGCTTCATTACTCATTTTCCAAATATAATACGGACTGCAGTACGATAGACCTTTTATTTTTTTAATTTTATTTTATGTGACCTGTGTTCACGTCTACTCTTCGAATACCAGCACTTGTCACATGCAATTCGTTTCCTCGTATCCAATATCCAAGAAGATCTCCTACCTTTTGCCTGCGGCATCGGTTGCTGCTTGAGGAATTCCACTTCATCTTGAATGTTGTGGAATGCTGGTCGAGGGATTCTTCCTGGAATCTTCATATAGCCGGCTGGAGCGTTTCCAATTGAATTGCAGAGAGCGATTTTTTTTCCAGGCAAGTACAGTATCAATTTCCCGACCCCGGAAGGATGAGAGACTTGGTTGGCCCAGAACTAGCACCATGCTCGCGGTGACGGACATCACTACCATTGTGCTAGTCACCCCTCTAAGATGGATCTTCTGGCGAAAAAGAAATTTCCTTTTAAAACTGATTTTTATCAAATCTCGGCAAGAATTGTAGTATCCTCGTGTCAGCTCAATCAGGAAGAAATTTAAAAACAAATGATTATCCGCGTACAGTCAGTCAAGGAGCATCTTAGTCGTCGAGCAGAATAAAAATTTTCAAGATGACGAAGACGCCACCTCGAGAAGATGAATATCTGTGGACCGTCGACTCGGATCATAGGCTCTGATGAAGACGAAGACGTTGAAATATTAGCCGATTAAAACAGTTCTATCAACCTCGTGTAAACTCAAAAACATGTTGATAAGAATGAAAACTTCATAACAACATCGCATAGACTAATAAATATAATAAAATATCCCATAATTATTTTTCAAATTTTTTTAATCGTTTTATCAACCTCGTATTAACTTACTAGTCCAAGAAAGTCTCAAAATTATATTTCTTTTCATTTGACTCACACTCGACAGAGAACTATAGAGCAATTTAGTCTTCAGAACATTTTTTTTCTTCTTTTCGACAGCACTTTCCTTGCAATATAACTAATCGCTAAATTACCTTTACATTATCACATAATTGTTCTCGAACTGAGTGAGACCATTCGCCTGCCATCTGTATCACCTGTAGTCCTGCTGATCGTCGAGTGACTCAAACCGGAGCCAGTAAGTCTTCCACTTATCCCTGTCGCGAGCAAGAGTAGCACAGTGGGTTTTGCTCGCTCTGAAGACTGGATGAGCAACATATCTTTCTTGTAGGCTTTTCATGAAGAACTCTGACCATCGGGTCGGCGGTCTTCCTGCAGTACGTTTGACATCCCGAGGAATCCAGTCACTAACGGCTCTTGTCCATCGGTTGTCACTCGTACGCATTCTGTGTTCAGCCAACCTTATCTTCGACTGTTTGGCATACAGAACGACATCTTTGATTTTTGATCGTTGACTCAGATCGGAGCTTCGGATCCCATCCCTTACTTATGTGGAACGGGATACTACTAGCATCGTCCTTTCGACAGCGCGTTCGATAACGCTGAGTGACCTTTCATCCTGCTTACGCAGCGACCAGGTTTGTGACGCATATGTTAGGGATGTTAGGGCAGGAAGTACTGCTGAGCCAACAAGGTGGGCACGGAGTCGGGTTTTCTTTGTTCTGTTCACTACATCTCCGATGCTCTTGAAAGCTCTCCATGCCGCTCGTTTCCTTCTGCTCAACTCTGGAGCTAAGTTTTTCATCATGTTGATTTCCCGGCCTATATAGACATAACTGGAGTATTCGGAGATATTCGTCCCATTGAGTGGGAATGAGGCATACGAAACCAATTCGTTCTTCATGAACGTCGTTTTTGTGAGATTTAGTCGAAGACCACTCTTTCCACAAGTTTTAAACTATTCGACTAGTAATACATAATCTACAAACCCTTCCGTATTTCAGTTAAAAATTGTTGGCATGGTTTTTTTCATGATGGCAAAGATAATTCTTCATCGTGCGCAAATAACAGGATACTTGTAATTTGCTAAGGGTATCATTGTATCAAAACGCAGAAGTTCCCGTAAGAATTTTAACACTGATGTCAAAACAATGACATTTGATGTTTATTGAACAGAAAATTGACTCGCATATGAGAAACAGATTCGAAATACAACGAAGAAGATGTGGAACGGAAGAAATCGTTGAATGCAACATAGTCATTGGGTGCGTTAATTCTTTGGAGTGTGCCGGGAAATGGAATCCGTCTCAGCTGTCATTTCTGGAAGAAAAATGAATAGGATCCAATGTACGAATATCCTCATTATTTATTAACCACTACTAGCCGTCCGAATTGACACTAAATTTTCTACACAAATTCATTGCTGCTTTCTGTTTTCTTGCTAGGTGAAGGATTGATCGTTACGTATGTCGCAAAATATTATAGTACGAGTTTTCTTTTTTACGTTGAACAATAAATGGCTTAACAGTGAAAGTTGGCGAGGACAGTGGAATTGTTACACCTTTCTATGTAGGTGACTATAAAAAAAGTTTATAAAACAAGAACTGAATAAGGTGCAAGTGAAGGTTGATGCCCGGCAGCTTTGCTTTGCTCATAACATCATTTCTACGGCATCACATATTTGTCAGACAGAAGGTGTTTTAGTAATTTCCACATTCCATGTGGAAAAAGTGGCCTTAAACTGAAGAGTTTGAAATGATGTTCATCGGAACGGAAATTGCTTTTGATGAGCCATTCAAAATCAATGAAACGATTATCTTTGAAAGCATCGACCACGTGCATATGATTGAAGAAATTAACTTTGTGAAATATTAAGTTTTAGGGCTGAGTAGGATGGAATGAGCCGGTTCAGAAGCACAGCGGTGCATAGAGGATGTGATGAATCGGAGAAAGGACAGTCAACTCTGTTTCCACACTTCCGATTCAACGATACTTCCTGCTTTCACATCCATCTTGGGAAAATTTAGGCAAGATGAGCGAAATAGATTTGCGGTTGTCATTATTGAAATGGGCCGTGAAGAAGATAATGTCGGAAGCTATTAAGTAAATGCAATATAAGTTCCGATTTACAACCTGTTTCATCAATAAAATATCAGAGACACGGCCGTGTTCGCTAGGCCTACGCTTATGAAGACCGATGGCGAAGACTGCCTTTTACATGGAGTTTGACTTTCATCACTCCGGAGTTGGAAAAGCGGAACCAGACATGCGTGGGAAAAGCCCAGTCACTGCAATCAAAGTTGAAAATTCCAACGCACTTATCTAGGGCTCCAGGGAGAATTGAGTAAATAGCATTAATGACACTCATAAAGAAGACGATAATCCTCAAATAGCAACCGAGTCCAGGAGCTAAGTGTCCGAAGAGCTTCGTGGATGGTGAAGGCGGAGGAAAAGTGGAACGCAAAAAACTGCTCGGATCCGCAAGGTACGATGAATGTTATATCAGGTCGGGCAAAATAAAAAGAAATGTGGATGCCATTGACTCCATTGTACCTCAATGCTTTATTTAAATCTGTTCTAGGAAAATAATACTTCCAGTCGCTCCGAACAGCTTTTCCGTATACTCAACTTTATGCACATGATCTTAGTGCTGAATTTCAGCTCATCAACTTCTAAAGAAAATAACGAGCTCCAAAGTGCTTCGGATTAGCTATCAAATACTCCATGAAATCAAAAACTAGAGCTTTCTTAAGAAGTACAACTTATGCTCTTACGAAAGGAACAATGGGGACAACAGATTTCAGCAAGTAATCCAAAAAGTCCTCATAATCTAAACAACAAATCTAATACTGTTGTAGATGTGATACTCACTTTCAAATATGACTGGGTGATGGGAAAAAATTGATACTCTAAAGAGTTGCGCAGTGCTCATCTCCAATAAAATTTTAACGCAAAAGTAGATCGCTTAACTCCAACATAATGTCAAGAATGCATCCTTTCTCAAATTGTCACCGAATTATCTCTCAAAGAATTATGACAGTTATGAAGAAATGTGAATATCTCAGCGTCGACCAAATGCCAGCTCAATCAACCGTTTGTCGTAAAACCGTGGTACCGCTTTCAGGAGTATTCTGAAGCACTCCAACCGTCCCATGGTGACACGACTCACAAAACTGTCGAAAATTGGGACTCGCATAGCTCCGTCGATAGCGACGTATTGCGGCGATTTGTTCGAATTAGCACCGGCACTTGAAATATAGACACGGCCATCTGGAATTTTTGGCAACCACTCGATTATCGCTGAACAATGGCGCGATGGACCCCAAATCATGTGGTGGACTAGATGGACGAGAACTGAGGTATTCGAATGTTTATCTGAGAGTAGATATTGCTGATAGCGCAGAGGAAAGAATTGTTGAAGAACTTGAGGAGAGGTTTATGGCGTGGTGATAAGCCAAGTGACTTAAGGTGTATTTCCCTGCTGCAAGTGGGAGAACATTTTTCAGCTTAACTAAGCAACATTCATTCACCTCTAACGATGCTTAGTGAAGTCGAATGCACGGCACATCCCTCAGGGATTGATTAGCGCTGAGAGATTCATCCTTTATTCTTTCCTTTTATCTGTACAGTGTGCATGCATGTCGCCTGCAGCAAATAATCGCTTTGTTTTTACTAGAAAAGATTAAGAAGGTAGGCTACCAGTGCATATCTTTCGCCAAAAACTCCAAAGTGAAAGGCCTTCATACCCATGTTGCCGAAAAAGTCTCTACTATAGAAGTGTTAGCTAGGATGAATACGGAATGACTGTTGCAATCTCAAGGGCATTCTAAGCTGCCTTGATCTGCTAGAAGTAAAGTAACTGGGTTTGATGAATTTATACAGAGAAGACCACGATTTATATAAGTATTGACGATTTCAACAACAGTACTGAACCCAGGAAAACGTCAAAAAATATCGCACCGGAACGCACAGAATAGAATGGAAGGAGAATTAAAAGTTAATGAAAGTGGGTAATTGTAAAGCGAGTAATCGTATGCCCTAAGTAGGGAATAAAGATTAGCCCATTTGACTTACAACGTCCTGAAGGAGAACGTTGACAGCCCAGCAGTTGTTAAGTGCATAGTTAATGACAAAGGGTCGCTGGAATGCGGACGGACACCGAAGTGAATCAGCTAGTGCGAACCCGAGCTTGCAAGCAATTATCTATAAATGAGCTCTACAGATGAATACATCTGACAGGACATACCGAAGACGTCTTTGCGACTTTAGCTACCTCAGAAGGAAGTCGAGTAACTCATTGCGAAGAGAATTACATAGGGGCTTCAAGTATTATCTACAGGTTCTTCTACTTGCCACTGGTTCACGTTGTGTCCTATGTATCAATTGAATGAGATTTTCCAAAATAAAGGAATGCGCCTCTTCCAGCACAGTTTTGATTTGATTGATAAATTACCGATGATTGAAACTTCTTCCGGACTCTTGAAATAACCAGGGTAAAGCTTTCACATTAGCGACCTAAAACAATTATCATTGGGTGTATATTTCAGGAAAATTTGCTACGGTATCATGAAGGTGATAATCTGGCGGCATGGAGTAATGTTACTAGATTGCTCCTGGTTGGGCCATAACGGACGAAAATGTAGAACTCCTCATCTTTAAAGTCCTGGCATGGCATGAGTTAAATCCACAGTGAGTCTCGCCGATTGACATCCAGGCATATTAATCCGCCAAGGTGAGGTGGTGAACCATTGAGATAGAAGGATGTGTGTCTATCAACAGACTAATAAGAGTCGTAGTTAAAGTCGAAACTCTACCAACAAAACTTAACATTGCAGTTATCCGCCTAGAGGGATAAGACGATGAAAATCGCGAAATTTGAAATAGGTGGGTCCGATTGGATTCTATTCCGCACCACAGCAATCCAGCTGCCGAAGAGAACGAAGGAGTTCAGCGAATAATCTTTACACCACATCGAATATTCTCGACCTCCTTATATTCCGTATATCTTCTGCATTTATTGTGCACTGTCCCACAATTTGTTGTCCTATTTACGTAGTGCGAATCAATCGATTTGATCGTGCTTTTTCGTCAATGCGCCGTATTGGTAGCTGATTGGTCGCCGTATTGATTGAATACAATGCCTCAGACAACCCTGCCCCCTCTGACCGTCCGCAGCCCTCGCTTAGGCATTCCTCGGTCACTCAGCGCATCGATTGAGTACTATCCCAGCAGTTCCCGTGTATTCGCAATGCACACGGCCCACCCACTCCAAAACAATGAATGCGTGACTGGGAAGGAGTTGAAGGCTAAGGGTAGACCTTGTAGAGACAACGACACGGGGAAGGTGGACCGTATGAGTGAGACAAGAACTATTCATGAAGAGATGCCTTCGTGAACAACGTCATATTTACTTGATACTTGATACATGAATGGCCCGTCCTAACTGTTTGTGCGGGCTCCAGCACTCCATTTTTCGGAGATTTGCTGCTTAAGCCATTGTGGTTCCCTGTAATCCCAAGGTTAACCTGGCCAAAGTCTACCGCAGGTCGTCACCACCACAGGCAGTCGCAGCGCTTGTGGATCAGAAGAAGATTTGCCACCATGCATCTTTAATAGCAGGACAATGATCGATCCTGGTACTGGTTTACTCTTGGCTAAGCTTCCTGATGGAAACGACGGACCCCTTCTCCGCTTGGGAGACCCTTCCAGAGGGATGAATCCCTCTTCTTTACATCGCAGCCCGATACCCAGGAACAACTCCCAGCCACGATTAGCCGGTAACCCGTTGGGTGGAACAGCGTCATAAGTTTAGGAACTCCTTCTCTTGTTAATGGAAGTGCTTGTACACTTTTCCACTTAATGTTCTAAGGTACTATGACCTCATCTATGGTGGAAAATCCTAGAAAAAAAACCAGTATTGCACTATTGTTGTTTGTGGCTTGCGTTAGCTATTTCCTTGTATGAAGGTTAGTTTGCACAGACCTGAGTCTCAGTGAGGTTGCAACACACCTACGGAGACGGCGTGGCAATCTGTGCATTGCAAAACCCTCTCTTCCTTATGGAAACCTAGGAATCACCAAGCGAAATCTTGCATTACTGTATCTCATTCACTTCACAAGCACTAACAATTGTTTGCGTTGCCTGTGAAGCCGCCGTCACGACTTCCATAAGAATCCCAGGAGAAAACGGAACTACACAAGTAGTAGACTGCTTGTTTAATGGAAATGTCGCTCAGATCCACTCAGTTTTCGAGCGCGGATAACCCGCTATTTTAAAGACGTGGAACCCTGTGCGCGTGTGGCGCAGTGATCGGAGGCGCCCTGCAACACCCACGTGGAATCGATCCTCGTGCCCATGGCCCACCAAGCCTTCCACTCTACCAGAGTCGGCAAATTGGTACGAGACTTGTCTGGGAGGATAGCAGCACTGGTTCGATACATCGGTAGGCCACTGCGAGTCATTGTATACACCAGATATGCATTCAATCACTACCAAACGATGCTTAATGAAGTAGAATGAATGGCGCATCCCTCAAGGATTGATCAACGCCGAGAGCTTTGTCCTTTATCCTTTTGAAACACTTTGCATAGAGATGTATCAGGGCAACTTTCAGTATGTTCGGTACTGCTTCAATTTTCTCTGATTTTAACTATCCGGCATCATGTGAAATACAGTCACAGTGATGCTGAGATGTTTGCGAAACTCGGAACGCCAGGCCAGCTTCTACTCGCGACTACTACTTTTACCCTGACGATGCTATCACAATCACCCATCAGCAGCGGGGAGGCTCCATGGTCTAGAAAGTAACATGGGAGCTCCTAAAAAGGGTAACCATGGGTTCGGAGTAGGACTGGGTTTCGAGTTTTGCAAATATGTTTGGGTCAATCCGATTGCATTTCACATAATACCCTGTCGTAAAAAAATAATAGGGAGTAAATAATGCTTAGGCATTGTGATTTTGGTGCAACTACATCTTGGGTTCAATGCTGGTTTAAAATTTCCTATGATCAGTTTATAAGAGAACAGAAGAAGGAAGACCGATATGCTCTACGTTTAGTCTGATGTAGAAGTAGTGGAGTTTCGGGCCATGAATTTCAAACACTTACGCTAGCTTCTTGGACGTTGTAATATTGCTGGTAAATTGTTATGAGAATGCGGCTATCGTCTGAAAAAAATCTTTGCACGTTCGTTCCCTAGGTGTGCATGTTACTGTTTATCTGCTCATTCTATGCGATATCCAACGCTCCTCGCAACGACCTAGAAGAATGAAGAAAGCAATAGTTTCACAGGTTTGTGAAATTCCCTATAGGCTTTCTTTGCTGCTTACTATAACTTGTTGAACCTTTTTCTGGAAGTTCTTGTGTACGATTTCGTCAAGATCACAATTAGTCAAGAACTACAGCCAACGAAAATTGCTTCTAAGTGCAAGAAACCAGGTGGGGCACTACCCATCCAAGGCGCTATAGCAGGCAATACTATGTTGGTTTGAATTATTGGCATGTGATATGTGTTATATGTGCACATATTTACCCTTGAAAACCAGATTTCATTTAACCTCGACATAAATAGTGGCTATAGTTTTCAATTGGCTAACTCTTATCTGGATTTCCTATTGGAAACGTCGGCCTCCTTCTCAGCTTTTCTCAAGACATCTTTCACTACATAAGCTTACACGTGGTAGGAAAACATGTCTTATATGTTGTATGAATCATATTTATATCAAATCGCGTATATCATACCGTATATGTTTATATTTATTACACATTTTTATATGGTTGGAAGCACCACCGTGACACACACGTGGGATCGTTTCCCTCACCCGTGGCCCACCAAGCCTTTCATCCCTCCGGGGTCGGCAAATTGGTACCAGACTTGTCTAGGAGGATAGCAGCACTGGCTCAATACATCGACAGGTCACCGCGAGTAATTGTAAAGGCCAAATATACACTCAGTCACCTTCAACGATTCTTAATGAAGTCGACTGCATGGCGTATCCCTCAGGGATTGATCAACACCGAGAGCTATATTCTTTTTTATTTATATGTTTATATTTATGGAGAGGGGGCCGATAGCACAGTGGCAGTGATGTCGGTCATCACGAGCATGATGTTAGTTCGATTCCGCTCCTGGCTAACCGAGCCTTTCATCCCTTCGGGTTCGGGAAATTGATTCCTGGCTTGTCCTGGAAAAAAATCACTCTGCAATCTAAGGGGAACGCTCCAGCCCGGTTACCTCAGGACTCCAAGGAGAATCGACTCGACCAGTATTCTACGACATTCAAGATGAAACGAAAATGCTCAAGCAGCAACCGAAGCCACAACTAAAAGTTGT